TTCTTCCCTCAGAATATGCAATATCTCGTTCACCGCTATGCACCACAGGAAGGGGGACAAGACCCCACCCTGTGGACAACCCCGTGATGAGCCGATGGAGACCTGCTCCCCACCCAGTCTTGCCTCGATCTTCCGGTCGGTTAGCATGGAGCGGATCCACCTTACAATGGCCGTCTCCACTCCAGTACGCTCCACCGCCCTGCAGATCGAATACAGGGCCGTGTTATTGCAGGAAAGATGGTGAAGAGCTCAGCATGCGTACCGAAGCGGTACGCATGCTGAGCTGGCTCTAAAGGGGCCTCCAGCTCCACCCAGTCCCTCAGATACCGGTCCACCAGTCTCTTCAGAGCCTTCATAATGAAGCTGGTGAGACAAACGTGCCGGTACGACTTCGGGTCCGTGTAGTCACTCTTCCCTACCTTGGGGATTAACACTACCCTGCTGTGTCTCCACAGCTCGGGCACGTATCCCCTCGCAATAGAGGCTCTGAACAGATCCATCAGCGGGCTGGTCAGGAGACCTCCGTCCCTTTGCAGCAGAGCCGGAAATACTGCATCCCCGCCCGCCGACTTGAAGGGGCAAAAGCTGTCAATAACCCACCTCAGCCTACTATGGGTAACCACATTCCTTGCCGTGGCGCAGTCGCATCTAAGACGATCCCCGGCTTCAACATTCCCGCCTGAGTCCGGATCGGCGGACCCTGGGAAGTGCGTGGTCAGCAACTGTTGTAGTGTGTCCGCTGGTCCCGCTGTGTAGCCACCGCCGGTCCTGCAGACCACTCCCAGTCTTCCCGCACTTTTGAGTACCCTAAGGAGCCTAGCGGCGTCCAGGGTATTAATTACTCCGTCGTAGTAGCCCCTCCAGGCCTTCCTCTGTGATGCCCGTAGTTCTTTTTTGTGCTGTTTACGGACCCCCCTATAGAGATCCCAGTCCGCACCTAGGCCGCTGCTCTTCACTGTATTGAACAGCCTCCGTACCGTCCTCCGAGACGCTCCAGGGAAGAGCTCCACCAAGGAGTCCTCCCCGCCCTATGCTCCTCTGTCTCAGGACGGCTCTTCTTGAAAGCCCGTATCATAGAGGAGCTGACACTTTCGGCGGCCTCGTCAATCTCCTCCAATGTCCGGTGTTTTCGTGGTAAACTCCCTATGCGCCAAGCGAGCTCCTCCCTATAGAGTTCCCAGTTTGTTGCCCTGGGGTTCCTAAATCTAACTAGTTTCCGAACACCCATTTCCAACCCAAAGGTGATTTATCTATGGTCCGACATAGAGTCCTCCCCACAGACACACTACCCAGTTATTTCCGGGAGCAGGGCCCTGGTACATAGTGTCAAGTCTATAATCGAGCTCCGACCCGTCCTGAAAAAACGTGGGTTCTACCCCTCTGTTGGTTATCTCCAACTCTGCCTAGGCCATGAACTCCACGAGGTCTCCCCCCCTTGGATTGGTCGCCGCGATGCACCAAAGAACGTGGTAAGCATTGCTACCGCAGCCAATCAAAAGAGGAAGATTCGCCTCCTTACAGTAGGAGATCAAGTCACTGATCTCCTCCGGAGGACAGCTGCGGTCACCTGAAAAGTACGCAGAGGCGACTACTACCACCCTCACACCGTCCCGAGTGGGGGATCTGACCAGAATTGGAACCAGGTCCCCAGACGCCTTGTCCCTTAGAAAAAAGGCCTCCAGCCCCATGGTTAGTATGCAGGCTCTGGGACCGCCGCCTGAGGAGTCGACACTATGCAGCATCAACCCTCCCAGAGATAAGCCCCAACCCTTGATTTTAGAATCAGTACAATGGATGTACCGCCCCTCAAAATTTTCCTGCATAAGTGGGCCGTTGCAGCCCTGCTGTGTTGCAGGTTAATTTGTAGTATCCCCGTGAAGATGTTGTTACGGAAGATTCACGATGCTAGTCTCAGTCCGGATCCGAGCCAGAGGTAGCACCTCCCTCCGCTTCCTGACTGGTGGATCCTGATAGGATACCCCGGTCCAACTCCATCTGAGATTCCTCCTCGGTTCTCCCTTCCTCGGAGGGCCCACCGGAGGTCTCCTTCACAGAAGCCGTGAGCGCTGCCTCTACGACAGGCCTATTAACCTCCATGGACGAGCCCTCTTCGTTTAAGCCCCGCTGCGGCCTCAGCGCCAACAGGTTCACTTTAACCTGGGTCGCCAGGCAGAAGAGAAGTGAGCTCTTAGCCGTGATGGCGCTTGCCGATTTCTCGTCCACGCACACCACCAATCTGCGTCACAACCTGCCTCTTGCGTCCTACGTCCTCTGCCAGACCATCCAGGCACGGCCATATAGGCCATTCTGAGCTGCTAGGCAGTGGAACAGTGTCTCGTTCGAAACGCCCGCCCCCCGGCCCGGAATCCAGATCGCATCCCTTCTTAGCCTCCATCCTTCTGGATCGATCTCCACCAGGTTTGCGAGCCCGCAGGGCCTGACGTTGATCTGCTCCCTGCGAACCCACTCCCTGGTTTCTTCATCCATCATCTCTATCAGGATTTGGCTCCTCCACAACCTAACCGAACGTATCCGGCCCCCTCTGCATGATATACATGCTTAGGCGGAGGTTAAGAGACCCTATGAACCGCAGTAGGTCATCGGAAGACAGGTCCATTTACTGCCCTCTGAGACCCTCCACCAGTTCAGGTCTTTCCCAGGCCCAGCTTTCGCCGGGCCGCGTGTCGGCCACCAACCCCCGGAAGGTGGTCGAGTTGCGTGGTCTCTCCCATCTTCCTTTTCCGCTTCCCGCCTGCGTTTCCGGTGTGCCCCCTATGGAGCCCTCCGTTGACGGCGTGGCGGGATTCCTGAGCGCCGGAAGAGAGCCCGTCCGCGGTTCCGGAACCGTCACCGCAAGTCTCTTCTTCTTCGCCCTCCTTTTTTCCGCCCCACTCCTGTGTCTCGGGCGGTGTATCGACGAGGTGGTGTTTCAGGTTTGTACCGAGCCCTCCACCAAGCTCGTGACCTAGGGATCCTCCTCAGATCGCCCTTGCAGGGGACCTTCCTGAGAACGTCCCTGCTTACTGGAGCCCTCCTGGGGTCCCTTCTCCTTCTTAACTTTTTCATTGTCAGCTTCCATATAGGTCCCACGAGCAGCTAGGGGAAAAACGGTCCACCTCTGCAGAGCCCCGCATACTTCCTTCCACGATGTGTGCCCGGTGCCTCGGGGTTGGGATCGGTAGAGACTGATCTTCTATCCAGCCATGCATCCCCTAGGCCCGACCACCCACCGTAGATTTTAGGATTTTTATTGAGGTTTACTCCTCTTGGTCCAAGTGGTGAAGCTCAGACCCCACGTGTCGCGTGCCCATCCGTCGAGCCGGCACCTGACGCATGGTTTATCAACCGATTAAAAGCCAGTTGGCCCCGTTATACCCTGTGCAAGCCCTTAGCCACGACACGACAGCTGGGCAGGGTGAGCTGGTCCACGACTGGTTATTTATTAGGCCTATTGGATTTTTATCTCCTCATGCCTCCTTATTCCCAGCCACCCAGGCCCGTGATAGCCTGGGCTTCCATATCCGCCACCCGGGGACGCGCCTCATGGATTGCTCAACCACAAAGGTTGTCATCTATACATCTTTTTGCCAGAATTTATACTTATTGCTATTTAATAAGTGACCAATATTCCTTTGGATGATTTCTTAAATATGTTTAATGTAAAATGCTCCTATAAACGTGTGGTCCAAAATGCTACTTTATAGAGATACGTGGTGTCAAAGTTTTATTTTTGTTTTGTTTGCATAATTTGGTCTTAATTTATCTCTTATTTACATTATCGTTTAACGGAAAAACACTGTATGTCAGCATTCTTAAAAACTGCCTTGAACTTTTTAAAACATCATATTGTTTTATTAAAAAAGTAAAAAAACATGTAATGTGTATTTAACTGGACAAAAAAAAACATATGTTCAATGATTTGACATACGTTGTGCATATCTAGTGAAGTCTGATCTATCTTTGCTCTGTACAAAGTTGCAGACGCACGTTTTAACATAGGGCGTTCTTATTCAGTAACTAGGTACCAACCTAAGTATCAAACAACAGAAAAGTTAATTAATTATTAAATTAATAATTAATAAATGCGGTGGTTATGCCGTCATTATTTGGCAAATAGATATGTTCCTCTGGTAGCAACATTATGTTAGAGAATGAAAATAAGCTACCCCTATAACTATAAGTTTTAAATATAAATAAAGGCAACTAGCTATTTGAAAATTCGTATAGTCGAGAATATTGGTTTTCAGGAATTAAACATACTACAAGAAAATTACAATTAAAGAAACAGAAAATCATACCTGTAACAGCGGTATATATCTTCTGACAGAAATTGTCCTCTAGAATTATAAAAAACATAAATTGTCATTCTGGTAAAACCTGGTAAATACAATTGTTTTTTTTTTAATATGTTTATTTATTAAGTAATTTTTATTGTCTAATAAATAATATAAAGATTATTAATAAAATTGTGCCTTGAAAAGTGGATTCTGTGTTTATTTTACCCAATTATAAATAACATTCCATCCTCCTGTGCGTCACGAAAACATCACATGTCATAACATACGATACGCATTTTTTCTTATTGTACAAACAAAACTAATAAAATTATAAAAAGTAAAATATTAGGCATTTTTTTATTATTATTATTAAGCACGAAATCCTAACACATTTTTTCTGTTGGATCGTATCTACAAGTCTTTTGTCACTTTAAACGACTGTTTGTACCTGACCTGTTTTAAAATCCACAAGTTTGAAAACGATCATATTTGAAATATCTCTGGCATTTAAAACCACCCCTGCGTGTACTTAGTTTATTAATTCAAGGTCAATTTAACGTGGATTTAAAGATCGTGTGAGCCTGTGTTTTAATCATTGTCATTGCCGGGTTGATTCGATTAAATGAGAAAGCTTTATGTAACATCAATGCACAAATGCTGGAACTTTAAAGCCAACATGTCCTGGTCTAAATATTATTATCTCTGTGACTCGAATCTGTTACCTGTGCGACATTGAAATGATGCACTTCCTTTAACGGTGCCGCTTTTTTTTCATACTATTTATTAAAACTGTCGGGAGCGCATCCGTTATGTGTGCATATTTCAGTTATTGTGCTTCCTTATTTGTTTTGGTTATTTTGCATGTAAGTAGAAATTTACTTTGAAAAATATCATCGAGATAGTCGAACCAAAGATCATCATCAGTTCATGTGTTCTTATGAAATGATGGTGTTTCTTTTTTTTTTTAGTTGTTTTGAGTCGAGGATTTTGTTTTCTGGAATCAGCAGAATAAAAAATATGTATATTTTTAGATTCGTTTAATTATTTTAAACAAACCACACTATTATGTATTCATACTATAAACATGCACTGGTAACCGAAACTTCTCACACAAAATTGAATTTTTTCAAGAATTGATTAATTTCAAAACTTCATAAATTAGTGCAATCGAACTTGGTTTATTCGCCTCATCATATATATTTTTTATGGAACACCCAAATATACATGTAAGGCATCTACGCTGTGTAGTTTTTTGGTAACAGCTTGAGAGAATTAACAACACTGAAGTCAATTTCTATAATTGTATATTCAGCGAAAGAAAAAAAAGCTGAAGGCTTTTGAAGCGGAGAGATTTGGCCAAATGGAAAATGTTGCTTTTACGAAACTAATTATCAATTAATTAGTACACGTACTAGATTTCAAAAAAGAAAGTTGGTTTATTATATACGTATTATTACAGTATAACGTTGGGTTAGTTGTTGTTTTTGTTATTGTTAACTAACCAAAACCGACTTTAAGCAAAACTGGACCAATTTAATTACTGCTACATCATAGTAGTATTTCCCGGTTTAATTTTGAAATATGTGACATCAGTGTTGTTTATGACATCATCCTCGAATAAATTGGATATATCGCTGAGGACGCACAAGCCGTAATAATAACAAAGTGGAAACCCAATCATCACAACAATAAAATAATAAAATCGCACACAATGCAGCAAAAAAGCTGTTTCGAGTCTATTTTCAATGATTGCGGTTTTGTCAATGAAGTGGAAAATCATTTGTTTTACCAGAAAATTCAGTAATTGAGCCGATTAACCCTACACGGATTACCGATTAAAAGCAATGTCGTTCGCAATGATGTTTTAAAACAAATTCAGGGGTAAGCTCGTCCAAATTTTGTGTGTACCTTTTGCTTTAATTAATAGTTTCGTGTACCTAATAGTTAGGTTTTATTAAATCTGCTCCACCTAAAACATTTCACGGAAAATTCGGTGTAGGACCGTTATTAATCCACCAATTAATTTTCCACTTATAAGACGCATCGTGATTAACCTATTTTCTGTTTGTTGGAAGGAAAACGTCTGTTATGACAAGGACTATCTAAACAACTGTATATTGGGAAATATCTAGTTTCTATCTTTACCGACAAGGAGAGGAATTTTCGTATAAAATAAATGTTATTATAATAATATTTTTGTGTAGATAAGACACTTAATAATTATCAAGGCTTTGTGAGTTCAAATGGAAAAAAATGTACCACTAAACATATCGGTTTGATATATATATATATTTTTTTTTTGGTTACCTTTTGTAAATATATCAAAACGATTTTTTTCAGGATTTTGGACAGAGTGGGCAAAATGTTTATTGGAGTTGATTAATAAATAATGGAACTTAACATAAAAATAAGATAAGGACAATTTAAAATTACTTAAGTGAAAAACATGAAAACTAAGAACCACTTAATATTTTAATTGGAATTTTATTTATTATTGATAAATTATAGTTATTTTAATAAACTTAACAAAATAAGTATTAGAATACAAAATATGCTGAATACTTGTTATATACTAAACTTACCTTTCCTTACTCAATGGCAACTATTCACTAACTATATAAGAATGATGGAAGCAAACGCTTCCCAAGTGACTTCCTCTAATTCTGCTTTGGTTTAGAAATTTCTATCTTTAAATATAAGATCTTTAAATATCCCTTATAAAAAAATATAGAGTAGTTGACATCACACAATTTCGCAGGCTACTAGTTCCAATCCAACATTGTCCAAACTCTTCATTTAATAGTTCACTTAAAATCCTGGCGTTGGGAGCGGGGCAACCATCTTGTTGATAATAAATTCCCTTTCCAGGAATTAATGGTAGGTCTTCCAAGAATGGAACCACATATGTTAAAAGGAAAATTAATGTTTTAATTGCATTTTCCGATAAACCAGATGCAAAATTGTATTCTTCTAAAGGCATTTCCTTCATGTAATTGTTGGATTTTTCTTCTTTATGCTTTCTTGAAGTAGTCAAAACTTGAGTTTTTCCAGTATTTGTTGTGTCGGCTAGTGCTCATCAAGATATGCTTGGATTTTGCAATACTTCTCCAATTATATTCAATTCCCGGATTTTCTGTTCCTCATCTAAGTGCCTTGGCTCCATGTCTGGTTGTCGCTGCAATGGATATTTATTGAAATAAAGTTCATCAACTGCCTCTGTGTTTTCGTTTCACAAAATTTAACACTTTGTCATATCATGCTTTTCATAATTTGGGTATATTTTAAATTGCAAAATGTACTAAAAGCTTAATTTTTTTCATTAAAATTATGTGTGACAGAACACAAAATTCAATAAAGAATAAAAGTTATGTCTTTAACTGGCAGTGACACATATACACTAATACATAAAAAAATCCTCTATATTTCAGAAGTATGGTTGCCATATAAAATAAGTAAGTTGTATTCATTAATGCCAAAACGGAGAACTGTAAAAAAAAATCTGAGTACACTGCATTTGCCTTAAAATGCCCTGCTGCCCTGATAGCGAAATTGAGTCTACAATCAAATTAAAGCCTTTAACGAAAGAAACTGCTAACACTAAAGGAAACAATTTTCATTTCCAATTATATGTAATTTGTCAAGAAAGCGGAAAGGTCATAACGTCAAAAAAATATCCAAACAAAAATGAAATGAATGTACAAAAATCCGCATGAACATCTGTTAAGGCAAGGATCATAATGCCCTACACATTTTTTTGAAATTTGACATAAAGGAACAAGTTTATCATGGCATAAAAACTGTTACAAAACCTATACGAGTTTTAAAATGCGTATTTTGCCAGAAACGTTTAAAAAATCAAAAGCTATGCCAAGTTATGACCACTAATTTGGAAAACAAAATTAAAACTCGAACAAAAACGACATTTTAGTCAAAAATAGGTGAACTTGATTTAATGGCATCCGAAATTAAATATATGACAGAATCACTTAAAACAATATTATGGAGATTTTTGGTTAAAAAAGTCAAAGACAAGAACCTAGAAAATTTTTTTAAACAGTTTTCTTCTATGGAGCAAGCCATTGAATCAGTAGTGGCATCACACTGAAACGGAAACGTCCAACTATTTATCCTTTGGTTCATCGGGAATGACGAAGATTTGCCAAAATATTAAAATGGAAATAAATGGTATTTATTTCCATTTTAATATTTTGGCAATATATATATATATATATATATATATATATATATATATATATATATATATATATATATATATATATATATATATATATATATATATATATATATATATATATATATATATATATATATATATATATAGGCAAGGTCGCTTTGAATTCAATGTATGGGTAGAGGTAGATTTGTTGGACCTTATTTTTAACATATGTGATTCCATTCTTGGAAGACCTACCATTAATTCCTGGAAAGAGAATTTATTATCAACAAGATGGTTGCCCCGCTCCCAACGCTAGGATTTTAAGTGAACTATTAAATGAAGAGTTTGGACAATGACTATTGAGAAGATTGAGAAATTTCAAAAATGAATTTGACTTAAAAAAATATATTTAATTTTTTAATAAAAGAGCAGTAATATATTTAATTAAACGCTAGCATAAATTAGTCGAAAAATAACCTTTATCAGCATTTATTTAATTCTAAGATATTTCAGGCTTCTTACATTTTATTTTTGACGTTAATGTGCACCTTCTTTGTATAAATAAATTTTTCAAGGTGATCAAGCGGAAGGAAATTTGGAAAATTATATATTTGTTTATTTTTTACAATAAAAGTCCTTTATTATTATTAAGGACAGAAAAATAATCAAACCGCCAATATTCAAATTGTGATTACTTCAATAGATGAAACGAAACTATAAATGGATCCTGGATCATATCTTTTTGAACATATTATTGTTTTTATCCAAAACCAGAGAAACCATTAATTTATTACTCCATTCAATTTTTAAGGAAGTCACAAAATTCCGTTCGTTACCCACAAATATGCTGCAAATACGGACGAAATGAATCCTTTTCAGTATATTATGCGCCCAAAATAACGGCCTTGAACTAGGCAAAAAATACTACGTTGCCAGTTTACTGCCTCGTAGGAAGTCATAAAGTATTACAACTAAACTAAACATACTAATTCCCATTAAACCTATTTTTTATCGTTTCGATCGGTTCTGTTATTGTTGTCTCATTTTTTTGACTATGTACGTTGGACAGAGAGAGCTGTAGTACTACAACTAAACATACTGTGAAGTCATAACGTATGGTTCACCACGGGGATTCAAAGGGAAGTCACTACGTGCGACAGACATACCAAGATCACATTACGAATTGCGATGCGAGCACCAACGATCTACGCTTGAACTATAATTGATAATGTACGGATAAATGGTCGATCTTGTGACTTCATGAGAAATTTTTGTAGGAATGTTGCTAAGGTCTTCAGGGTCATATTGGCAAAGTCGAGCATTTTTACAGAAATAACTAAAATTGCAGCTATTTTATCTGGAGAAATAAAGAAATTTCGCAATAGTTTTACAGAGACATTACAGTTTGTTTACATAAATTCTTTAATTGTTACGATAATATTTGCCTAGTAATAATTTGAGCCTTGTTACATGTATTACTCAAATCACAACAATTTTATCAGGGGAAATAACTAAATTTCACAGAAGTTTTAGCGAAAGATATTAGCGAGTTTACAGAAGTCCTCTAGATTTAAACTGTGAAATAACGCTTATTTCACTTTATATGCATTTAACAGCTGATCTACTGATTTAGTGGTCCACCATATTTACAGATAAAATAAAATCTACTACCGCGTCGCCGTTATT